CATCGTGTGGCATATTTGATGCATTTCAGGACGAGAACTTGTTAATTTTACATGAACATGATGAATATATAAATACGTTTTGTATTAGACATACACGCTGCTGCGGATTTCAAATGTGCTAGTTCACTAGGTAAAATTTCCTCACAAAGACAATTCAGTCTACCCGGACAGAGTTGTCTGCCTCCAGGCCAACCTATCTTTATTCGTTCTCCTCAATTCCACCTGCTTATATGAGAAGCAGCCAATACTAGTACTACTTTTTGGGTTTTGGTTGACACGATCAGGGATCAAACAAACAACCTCCCGCACTCGAGGAGACCCCGCTACAACGAGATGATTCAAGACAATCACGACGACTGGGTTCTTTTTATACATCATAATATGATGTTCTTCTTTCGCTTTGGAAACAAAAGTCATGTTTTTATTCCAATAAAACATGGGCTGCACTTAATTGACGTCACAACTGAAATTGCAACGTCAGCTGTGTTTTGAACTTTGCTGGATACCAAAATGGACATTTGTTTTGGTGTTGCTCGATAGGAGATTAAATAAAATCATTCTAAAAATAAATGTACTTGTGTCTGTTCATTTGTTTATCGTGAAACGGTTGAATTTCTTAAACATTTTGGCTTCATCAAATCAAAATGGCTGCCTTTTGAACGTGTATTAAAGGTCCGTTTCGAAGTACAAAAATTCTAAATTTTCCTTTAAGAGTCGAAATAATTATGTCATGCCATGCTCTTTGCTCCTTTTCACATAGATATACATTATATTTGTAAACATTGTACACCTCGCTACCGCTCGTTATAAAGTTATTGACAAATATAATGCCTAACCATGTTACTTTAAGCATAGAGCATCGTTCTTGGCCAAGAAAGGAAACTCATCTAGGAGAAGAAATAACTCCAAAATCAAACCGGTAAGATAAGTCATGGCAGACAGCTTATCTAGAGGAAAGATACCTCGAGAACAAAATCCCTGGCCCTCCAGGTTGGGGGATGAGCGCAAGACCAACTATCTCGCCTTGTAAAAAATTCACAGTTACAGAAACATTGACGAACATGGTCCTTTAAATATAGCGAGGTATTTTTCACTAACGCGGCATAAGTGTTAACTTCCAAATTTCTGAGTAGCTTTATCATTACTATTATTTCACACAAAAGTTAAAACCTTGTTAAACAAGTATTTATGATACCTTTATTGCATGGAATGACTCCAGGAGATCCGTAACATTTCACTCCATCTACATAGAATATTTTTGGTTTACCATCAGTGCAAAGCCATGGTGGAAGAGGGGACAATTGCGGACAAGGATCTGAAAAACACAAGTAAGAGACAAATTACGTATGTTGCATCATTGGTATAAAATAAAGAAGTTCATTGAAAGGACATGAGTTCTATTTTTTTATTATTATCGAATCTATCAGATATACGCATATTGCATATGTAATGGAAGGTGGAGCATATACATTTCAAATATTTTATTTTATTGTTTTCCCGGAACCGAAGAAATAACAATGTATGTCCCTTTTATTTATACGTGACCACAAGAGCGTCATTTAATATATCATTATGAACCAATATTGTCAAGCTTTCAGTCAAAATAATAATATTAACATGAACTTTACTACCTTTGCACGGGTGCCACATGTGGAGCAGGATCTGCTTAACCTTCCGGAGCACCTGAGATCAACCCCAGTTTTTGGTGGGGTTCATGTTGCTCAGTCTTTAGTTTTTTATGTTGTGTTTTGTGTACTATTGTTTTACTGTTGGTCTCTTTCTATTTTAGCCATTGATTTATTTAGTTTATTTTCGACTGATGATGTAAATAAGAAGCTGTGGTATGAGTGCCAATGAAACAACTCTCCATCCAAGTCATAATGTATAAAAAGTTAACAATTATAGGTCAGAGTACGGCCTTCAACACGAAGCATTGGCTCACATCGCACAGCAAGCTATAAAGGGCCCCACAATGACTAGTGTAAAACAATTTAAACATGAAGACTAACGGTCTAATCTAAATAAAAAACGAGAAACGAGAAACACCTATGAACCACACCAACAAAAGACAACCACTGAACAACAGGCTCCTGACTTAGAACAGGTGCATAAAAATGCAGTATGAATGTCCTTTTGGTATCTTTCGCCTCTCTTTTAATGGTAAATAATTAACTAATTCGGCATATACAAATTAGAGATGTGGTATGATTGCTAATGAGACAACTAACCACCAACGTCATTTGTTTTACTGTAACTTTTCAAAATAGTTTTGAATTTGATGGATCGATGTAGTAAATAAAATTGACAAAGTGAAATAAGCATTAGTACTAGATACTGTTTATCAAAAAGTGTGGACTGCAATCTTATTTTCCTCTTTATGTTAATGTTTTAATTAAAAAAATATGTCGACCTACCTTGTCTGCATTTGCATATCTCACAGCCATTTTCGTCCTTTTGAAATCCTAATGAACATTTTATTAAAGGACATGTAATTTTTGGACAAACTAAAAAAGAAATTCAAGTTTTTATTAACATTGTTTTAGAAGCATCATTTGTTATGAATGTATTATCACACATTAACAAAACATGGATAAGAATTTCTTTTCCTTCACCATATTTACCCATGGTCGTATCATCTAGTTATAATGTTGATTCTGATGTAAAAAATAAATTATTTGTTTTAATCGTTAATTGTACCACATTATATGTTAAATACTTATTTCCTCTTAAACTGCAAACACAGCGAAATTTGGCCAATGTAACTATACAATGCCTTTCCTAAAATTTACTAAAAAGTTCCGTAACTGTTAAAATACCATTGATAATAATAGATACGTATTGTATTAAATTTTTACCCAGGAAAAAGAAGAATGTTCACCCTATAGTCACATCTAGTCTAACCCAATTTAGAGTGCAGACACTTAAATCAAATGTTTGTCTGTTTTATCCATGGACTTATGGCACGTGATTTGTATATATTCTACTTTCACGCACAAGAATTCATATTACTATTATTTGATTTGCAATATTATTACACATACCCAGGGTGTTGTATTATTTGAAAAGCAGAATGACTTTTCTAACATGACGTTCTTTAAACGATTTGAGTACACGCCAATGGTAAAATAGGAATATATTACATATCAGCTGATCGGCAACAGTATGCTTTATTTGGGCTATTCCAATCTTACTTCCACGTAGTATGGTTTTTATGAATGAGTTCCCCGAGGTCAAATGGTGTAAATGACACCGTTGAACTATGACATAAGAAGATAAGCATTCTACGGGGAAATGCGCGAATGTGAAACGGAAAATTATCAAAACATGAAAACATGAACAAACGATGAACAGAATTTGCTGAAAGCTCGATTTCTTCAACATGTTCAATAAAAGTAAGACAATCTTCGAAATTCGTCCAAAATTGTCCAAGTATGTTATTGTATATCATTGAAGCATGTCACTAATTCAGTTTTATTCGTCTTTTACGTCAATATTGATAATGTGTTTAATTATGGAATCATCAAATATTTGGCACCGCCTAGAGCACTTCGATTAAAAAAAATAGCCGTCTTTGTCTTATTTGAATAAAAATTATTCATGGGGGCTTGCATTTATATATATATATATATTTTTTGTTTTGTTTTTACCGCGGGTGGGCCTTATGCCGATATGTTACCCTTTGCTATCGTTCGTGGTAAAAAATTTAGAATAAAGGACCAACTTCGTACGTTTATCATCATTTAGAGAGCAAACTTTTAGTGATATTTAAAAAAAATTTGATGGAATAACAGAATAAAGAAATGCATACAATGTATGACAAAAAGGTTGTGAAACGAAAAGAAAGCTTTGCATAATATAAATATTGCATTACCTGCATTTTTCAGCGTAGAAATATAGATTTCACCACTGCAACAAGTGTGTTACGATATTTCTCCACTCGAGACAGTTAAATTTTAATATTTAAAGCGCGAGGCTAGCCGAGCTTTTTAGATAATTAAAATTTAACTGTTGAGAGTGGAGAAATATCGTAATTAACGAGTTATAGTGGTGGAATCTGTTTCTTTAATGATTTTCATCCTCCCTTTTCAAAGATTTGCAGAAAGTTGTGTTATATGTGACGTCATCAGGCATTGTCACCTTTTTTCATGACGTCACAATAGGAAAATTCAGAAGAAACCAAGAATATTTGACCTCATAATTAAATTTCGACCAATCATTTGCCGAGAACAGATATTTCACTAGTGAGGAGAAATATCTTTCTCACACCGATCAAGAAATGTGAAAATAGCACAAAAATTAGAGAAATGATGTAACTTACCTTTTTTGTCTCTGCACATTGTTCCACAAGCAGGATTGAAGCAACACAGTTGACCTGAAAATGCACCATACAAATGAGACAAATTTCAAAATAGAGGCTAACCGTGGGAACGTCACTGATTTGTACACTGTGATTGACTTTCATAAGTTCATACCGACTGCGCAATGTAAATCACGATTAAATGTGAATTTTTCAATTATTTATATTCATGTTTTTGGAGCAAATATAACAGTTATTTTCATGATAAAAATATATTAGCCCAGTAGTCAGCACTTCTGTGTTGACAAGAACTATCATTGATATGCTCATAAATATAAATTAACTGTTTATAAAACTTAAAATTTTTCAAAATACTAAGTATTGGCTACCCAAGAATAGATTACCTTAGCTGTATATGACAAAACCTTTCGGAATTTTGGGACCTCAATGCAATGCTCTTCAACTTCGTACTTCATTTTGCCTTTTAAACTTTTTGATTCGAGCGTCACTGACGAGTCTTTTGTAGACTAACCACGCGTCGGGCATACAAATATTTAATCCCGTTATCTATGATGAGTTTATTAAAACAGATAATCATGATCATGAAATTTTACTTTCACATAATTTTTATACATATTCGTTTGTTTTTAAAGACTTTTACCCTGACTGATTCTAAATACAACAATATACAGACCTGGTTTACACTCATGGTCCGCGTTACACTGCTGGTGGAAATGGATACATAAGGGACATACAGGATTATTTAGGTTGGTAATACAAGCTGGGCATCCAGGACGGTTACCCTATTTAAGAAAAATTTTAAAAAATCAGTATATAAAATATGTCGCTTTTTCAGAAAAATCCCATCCCGTCTGCAAAAGAGATGTCATTGAGTAAAATGTAAATAAACCAACAGACCGATTAATTCTTTTTCATTGACATATAATTTCGCCTGTATGTTTACTGTATGTTTATAATATACAATTGCATTTAACAGTGGCAGTAAGTAAAAAGAACAGCTAAGCTGTAGTACACATTGTAATTGCTAAGAACAAAATAGTTTTAGAAAAAACGTTTTAGTGTTGCATTTTCTCAAATTAAAAATAGATGTGTTTTATTGTAAAAAGTGTAATTTTGTTTAAACAAATAATGTTTTCAAATAACTATTTATCAGTTCTCGTTCTACTTGGTAATAAGGTAATCTGACTTAACAGGGTAATCTGACTTAACACTACTTTAGGGTAATCTGACTTTACACTACTCTAGGGTAATCTGACTAAACACTACTCTAGGGTAATCTGACTTAACACTTCTCTTGAGTAATCTGTCTCTACACTTCTTTTGGGTAATCTTACTTAACACTACTCTAAGATAATCTGACTTAACACTACTCTAAGATAATCTGACTTAACACTTCTCTAGGGTAATCTGACTTAACAGGTTAATCTGACTTAACAGGGTATTCTGACTTAACACTACTCTAGGGTAATCTGATTTAACAGAGTAATCTAACTTAACACTACTCTAAGGTAATCTGTCATAACAGGGTAATCTGACTTAACAGGGTAATCTGACTTAACACTACTCTTGGATAATCTGACTTAACACTACTCTAGGGTTATCTGACTTAACACTACTCTAGCGTAATCTGAGTTAACACTACTCTAGCGTAATCTGAGTTAACACTACTCTAGGGTTATTTGACATAAAACTAATCTTGGGTAATCTGACTTAACACTACTCTAGGGTTATCTGTCTGAACACTACTCTAAGGTTATCTGACATGAGACTACATGTTCCTGTCTGGAAATCGTATTAGATCAAATAGTTTGTCCTTTCGTTTGTCAACCAAATAATTTCATCACTTTTTTTTCCATGTACAACTAAACATAATGACCTCTTCTCTGGTCTCTTGCTTGACGTTGATGCCTTGTAAAGTGTAAGAGTTTTTCTGATCTGTTAGACAAGTTTTTCCTGTTTTATTAAATTTCAATTTTGAATGAGTGTATGCGTAGTATGCGTAGCAGGACTTTGCATGCACTTTTTTTCTAATGAATAACAGCTGTTACATGTGTTACATACCTCTATAGGGTCAGTGCACTGAAATGCTCCACATTGTTTCCTACAACATTTTTGTTTTCCTTAAACGAAAAATGTAAAAAATCAGTAAATACGGAACAGATGAAATAAAGAAAAAATATATGAACTTAAAGATATGTATTGCCTAAGAAAAATAGCATCATTAATCGTATGTCGATCCGAATTCAGATTTGTTTGATTTATGCAAGCAGGTTTATTGTACAAAATGGTGAATTTAAAAGAAACATTTGTTCCATCACCTATGGCAGTAAACTCATTTCTTAATATGATCTGTGGGGAACTTTACATTTTTGAAATACTTTATTTGGCAAAACCTTTAGGAATTTTTGGTCCTCAATGCTCTTCAACTTCGTACTTTATTTTGCCTTTTTAACTTTATGTTGATCATTGTCGTTTTGCTTAGTTTCTCCTGTTACCTATTCTAACATCGGACTCGAACTTCTTTTAAACTGAGTTTTACTGTGCGTATTGCTGTGTGTTTCTTTATTCTAAATTGGCTAGAGGTATAAGGAGAGGGTTAAAATCTCACAAAACATGTTTAACCCCGCCGCATTTTTGCGCCGGTGCCAAGTCAGGAACCTCTAACCTTTGTTAGTCTTGTATTTTTCTTTTTTTTAAATTTGGTTCACTTATATGTATTGGGGTTTAGTGAGACGTCCATTTTCTCTGGACTAGTATACATTTTTGTTTAGGGACCAGCAAAAGCCCGCCTCCGGGTGCGGGATTTTCTCGCTGTGTTGAAGACCCATTGGTGGCCTTGAGCTGTTTTCTGCTCGGCTTTGATCGAGTTTTTGTCTCTTTGACACATCCCCCGTTTCCATTCTTAATTTCATTTATAAACCTGCAATCAAATGTAGGCAAACCGGGATGATACCGTGTGCCAATCGAAATTTATAACTGTTTTTGCTTCATTGTTTAGACCATTAAAACATGCCAGCAATAATTGACGACTGATTATTCAACGACTATCGGTAAACAAATAAATGCATATTGATTTCAAAATTAGATAGAAATATCGAAGAAAGGATGAAAGCATCCAACTATGACAGACCGTTTACAAATAATATCAATCGTTTACCCAACCTCTTTTTTTTATTCATAATTGTCAAGTTTCTGTCCATTATATTTTCGTTTTTAGTCGATTTAGGATTGTGTTTGTTCATGGCGAATTATATATAGTACCTTTTTATATCTATGTGCGTGTGTGCGTCTCAAAAAGCTGGGGGTGAGTACACGTGTGAAGATTGGTGTGTTGGGAGGGGGTAGTAGCATGAAGGGCTTGTAAGACATTTACTTACTATTTTTACAGTCTGAGTCAACTTGACAGTTAGAAAACACATCAACACGATTACAAAAGTTTGGGTCGTCTTTTGGAATTGACGGGCAGACCCCCGGTCTGGGTTTTGGCGACTATAAAACAAAATAAATAACACATATGAAATACATATCACAGAGAACAGAATATATTGCGTTCAAAAGTTTCGGACAATCAGAAGTAGCAAATTGAAAGTTGTATGTACGTGTTATTACACTTCAAATAACAATTGAACAGAGAGCCTTAATGCCAAAACACTAAGTTGCACGCTTGTAAGAAACCTCTTTTATATAAAAAAAAAAAAAAAAAATAGAGCAATGTATATAACCTGATTAAAAACTTACCTTTTTGTAAACAGGTATCACTGTTTATAGATCTGGTGTGATCAATTTAATGCATTATGTTGGGTGTGTTTGACTTGGTTTTTAATTTGATACAAAAAAACTACAATATGTAATTTTATGAGTAAAGTGGACATTTATCTCGCCTGTTTTCGCAGGACAGGAGTGAGAATGTATCACAGGGACCCTAAGTATGCTCTCCTGGGCTACTAAGGTAATTGTATCAGGATATTGGGAAAAAAATTGTTTTTGAATTAAAAAAAAAAAAAAAAAAAAAAAAAGAAACCTCTGAACGAACACAGATGTAATTAATTGTATATGAAACTCTGCAAAAAAAGACGACGTTTGAATTAAGAAAAAGCATTAGACCGCCTTTGTGACGTCATTTACCAGATAGTGGGGATCGCCTGTATCCCTGCTCTATTAAATTTCATCAAGCGTCTTTGTGATCGTCATTATGCAGGCTAAACTAGAAATACTATTTGTTCCGTAAGTACTTAATCACAATTCCCTAATGACAGCAGTGCTGATTATCAATTAAAAGACTTTAATTTGCCGAATAATTCGTGCAATATAGCATTATCATTTTTTCAACCAATCGCTCAACATTGGAACAGAAGTGACGACGCCCCTAAACGCACAGATGATGTTCACTAAAACCAAAGTTTTTGACGGAAATGCAACGAACTCGAAAGTTGTCTAATTGACGTTTCCATTCAAATGTTTACTCACATTAAGTTTTACTGGATAAACACATCCTGTTCCACAAGTAACACCACAACAAATTTTACCTACAACAATATCGCGTAATATTTTTTATGTACAATAATAAATTCGTAAATAATAATAAAAAAAGTTATAACTTTATAGAATTATAAGGTCGTCTTCTTTTTTATCAATATAGAGAAACCGGTGCTACTGGCAATTTTGAACTTTCATTGAGGTGCTTCATATTGAAGGCGTCACTGTCTTCGAGATGTAGAACACCACATACATGATAATTTATACACTTTATATAAACATTAAGGAGATGTGGTATGAATGCCAATGAGACAACTATCCTCCAAGTTCAAATGAAGTGGATGTAAGCAATTATAGACAACCGTACGGCCTTCAACAATGAGAAAAACCATACCGTATAGTCGGCTATAAAAGGCCAAACTTACCCAATCTCATTCGTTTTGATGTGCCTTAAATTATTCCTTTCTAAGCAAATTTATAATCATTTGCATTGCAATCTTGTCGCATTGCAAAACAAATTGAATCTTTATCTAAATACCAAGACGAAAAAAATACAAATATAAGTACACGAAAAGATATGAGAGGAAAACGATATAAGAAAATTAGGATTGCTTTAAAGTATAACTAAAGTCCATGCAGCTCTTTTCGAATTGCCTTTTCCACTGCTATTGACGTTGTAGTTTGATTATGTAAAATTTGATGCAAACTTCTTCGTTGAGGAGATTGTACAGAACGCCAGCGACCACGAACCCCGTGATTCTCGGCAGTCTTCATATGAAATAGCTTTAAATTCACCTTGAGAACATTCCTTGTCGTGACTACATTGCTGGTTGAAATGAAAACATTGTGGTTCCGGTTTAGGCACTGCCGGACAGCCTGGTCGCGGACCCTGCAATATACGTTCATGAAATTAATCAATTACATTTTTAGGAATTTAAAACACATTTCATTATTTATTTATTTTTTACCCCTTGAAGATTAATTTTCCTAAAATTGTGAAAAAATTTCGGAAAATCTGCAAAAATATTTTAGATGCTAAGTGTAGATTGATTAAATTTGATTATTTCTGGTTTTACGGGTAGATGATTTACACATAAGAATATTTAGTTGCCAAATTTTAAACAATATCTAATGTGTATAGTCAAAATCAAGGATCCCCAGAATTCAATTTCTGTACGTGGGTCAAAGATATCAGTCTATCCAAATAAAGTTATGATATACAAAATTTAAACACAAAGTTAAAATTCAAATCGAAATGAATCAAATGGTCGTAAGAAAAGGTAGGTTTTCACATTTTGTTCTTTAACAGTTATTAAACGTAATTTATGCAAATAAATAACAGCTACAAAGTACCTACCGAAATCGGTTCTCTACAATTCTGAGATCCACAAATATCGGGGCAGCATTTTTTGCTACCTATAAAAACAGAAAATTACAAATGTGAGCTGCATGCGATATAAATCGACCGTTTGCAAGCGTACAATCATATATATGTAAATGTGTAAGACTTTGATTGATTTTGGAACATTCAAATAAGAAATAAAAGATGAATTTTGGTGGTCTGTTTTGTAGGTTTCTTATATCAACTCAATTCTCAAACACTTGCAGACTTTGCAAAGAGATTTTATCAAATCGAAATAGGTTTACAGATGTATTAATAGACGCAGCTCATGTATTGAGAGAATGTAAAATAAGAGTAAATAAAAATAAAATGTTTACAATGAAGGAAATATCTTCCAATGATGTTTATTGAAATACATGGCGAGCAATTGTGACACTTTAAAAACAGAAATTGTGAGTTGAATCTGATGTTACAGTTGTTAGATATAAGAAGATGTGGTATGAGTGCCAATGAGACAACTCTCCATCCAAGTCAAAATTTATAAAAGTAAACCATTTTAGGTCAAAGTACGGTCTTCAACACGGAGCCTTGGCTCACACCGAACAGCAAGCTATAAAGGGTCCCAAAAATTACTAGTGTAAAACCATTCAAACGGGAAAATCAACGGTCTAATCTATATAAAAAACGAGAAACGAGAAACACTTATGAACCACATCAACAAACGACAACTACTGAACATCAGATTCCTGACTTAGGACAGGTGCAAACAATTGCAGCGGGTTTTAACGTTTTAATGTCCATGTTTAGAATATTTGCATGTAATGCTATGAGTTCGCCTACCAAAACAACGCCAAAAGGAGGACCAGTAGTTAAAATCCCATAAACTTATAAAGAAGATAGAAATCAAGGTAATGTTTAACAAAACTCCCAAAAAAAAAACCAGACCGGGTTCGTCGGCAGGATTAACGTCTCCTGATATCAAGCATCATCAGTCATGCAAATCACCCAGTAAAAATGTCACAATCACAAATAGGTAACAATCGCTACATTTACAGATCAGACGACTGTTCTGGTATCTAAAAAAGCAAACAGCGTAAAGTTGCCGCTGGAGATTTGAGACACAGATACATCGTATCGGTCAACTAATTCGTGATGGTAATCATAAAACTTATGTTAGTATGTTGATTTTATTCATTTTGTCACATTTCTCTGTGGAAGCATTTGTTATGTCAGGAACACAATAAGGTCAAAATAAAGTTACGAACAGACGAAAACATTCCATCGATTACTACTCAGGAACTACTTACGATTAAGCAACACGAAAAACCGTGAGTGAACTCTGTGGAAGCAGTTGTTGTCAGGAACACAATAAGGTCAAAATAAAGTTACGAACAGACGAAAACATTCCATCGATTACTACTCAGGAACTACTTACGATGAAGCAACACGAAAAACCGTGAGTAAATTCAGGCACTACGTGCGGTTCCTGCTTAGCTAGTGAAACCCACCCAAGCTATCCGATACATTGTGGAGGCACATTGTCGTTTTTGGTAATAATTTCTTAATTCTACACAACAATAATGAAATATAGTACCTTTACAATCTGCGTCGTTGCCAGAACAAGACGATGCAACCCTGGCAACCATACAAAAACTCGCAGGTTTATCGACAACAGGGGCACATATACCTGGTTTTGGCTTAGGTCTCTGAAATTGTAATTTAGAAACAATATATATTAAGGTAATATCAACCGAGTTGAAATTGTATTTCCTATCAAATTAATTGTTTTCCTTAAAGAGAAGGCATTAAAGTCAATCGTGGAACATAACCTTTTTTTGTTCTTGAAGAAGTAAAGATGAATAACCCCCCCCCCCCCCCCCCCAAAAAAAAAAATTAATTAAATAAATAAATTAGATTTTTTTCATTCTTAAATGGAGTTAAATAGAATAAGAAAAACATTATATTTCACCGAGCTTTTTTACAAGTTACATTTTGTGAAAAATTGCCATGTTGTGTAAGGTTTAAGCGGTGGAACGGATAACCCATTACAATGTGAAAATAATGTGAAAGGAAAGAAAACAAAATGACAGACTTTTGAAATGAAATATGAGAAGTTAGTTAAAAGATAATGGTGTTTTCTCTCCTTCGTTGACTGAAGACAATTGTTTGGTAACTTGTATGTTCTCGTTCAAAACTGGCATGGTCTTAGTCATTTCTGCGTTTGATATAATGTAAATTATTTTTTTAAGTGTTTGGCAATAATTTAATTTTGGATGTAACACGTCTTTTGATTTGCTAAAAGTGTTTTGTTTATCAGTTCATAGACATAATTTTGTAATGTGACCGTGACGTCATCAACGTTTTTATCATGATTTACGCCTTTTTAGAATTATATTATAAGGAATGACTGTTATATTTTTTCTGTCTATTCGAAATAACCTAAAAAGTGTGGTGCACACTTTTAAATTAACCGCTACGCGGGTTATTCAGTGTGCACCACATTTTTGATGTTATTTCTTCATAGACAGAAAAAATATTACAGTCATTCCTTAAATACCCGATTTTTCCCAATTTCTTATAACAAATATTACTTACGATTGGGGTGACGCATTCTTTTCCACATTTTTG